ATATATATATATATATATAATAGTTTTATTTAGTGTGAGGAATCTGAAACATCAGACGATGGAAGTAGACTTTGCGCGGAAAGTTTGCAAATTCACTTTCCGCGGAGAGCACAAGATTTATCTCTTTAACGTCTGGTCCTCTTTGGGTGCAAAACTCGGTCTATAATTATATCGTTTCATATGGGTTTACAACTTTCCACGCAAACCGAAAACCTTCAACCCAAACTTATGTGCGTCTAGTTTTTCTAGTAGCGAAGTCTCTTCGCAAAGAGGCGGAACACATTGCCTCCACGCGTACACTTTTTAATGCGAAGAGAAGTTTCATACGGGTCTACAACTTCCCACGCAATGCGAGATCTATCATCCGGTACTTCGGATGCAAAAAAACTAGGTGTATAATTATACAACTTTACATGGGAGAGTTTGCGACTTTTCGCGCAAACCTAAGTTTATTCCATGTTTTGGATTTTTCATCGAATAGAACTTCACGTTGAATAGAACTTGTGCAAAAGAGAAGTCATTTAAAAGTGTACTTTTCATCTATTTCTAATTGTTTGACATGTTTAATTAGTACTAAATATTTTTTCGATAGAATCCTTTTTGTAAGTTTCATTCGAATTAATTTAAAAAAAAAAAAAAAAAAAACAGATTATAGCAAGATTAGGTTAGAATTAGATTCAATTTTTTTTTAATGTAATCCCATGTGGATAATATTAATTTTAATTTGAGAGTGAACCTCTTGGAACACGTAGAAATGTATTTGTTCTTTTTGAAGTACATTTTTCACGAGTTATTGTAAATATTTTTCCGTGTAGTTTTTAATTATTTTATATGTTATTGTATTTATTGTATATGTTATTGTATTTTTACATTACACTTAAAATCAAAATAACAAATATAAATGTAAAGTGTTAATTACTTGACATTACTAGTTTGTCAATAAGTAATATACGTGACGAATGAGTTACTTTAATTATTTTTACATGTTCCAAGAGGTCCACTCAAATTAAAATTAACATTTTATTTTCCACTGTATATTATATATTATATATATATCGTATATATATATATTATATATATATATTATATATTATATAGAGTCAATTTAAGTAGATATAGTTATCAAATAAAAACAATTAAATCATAAGAGCCGTTTTGCAGGATGTTATGCCGAAATATGTTTTTATATATATATATATATGTGTGTTCACGCACACACATGTAAATTTTTGATATATGTGCGGATATTGCGAGGAAAACTCCAAGTGCCTCGGTGGTCTACAACAAGAAAGGCGACGGCCCGGAAAGCCGCAGATTCCAGATTTGACTTCTGGCTGAGGAATTGTTTTCGCAATATTTTAAAATTTGTTTTTTATTTCGCAAAGTTGAGTGAACCACGCGCGCTTTATTTCTCCCATCAAACGCACAATTTACGTGCAAAATTTCAGATCTAGAAGAGAGCGGGAAGTAATTTCGAAATTAACGCGCGATGTGCGATTTTGCGCTCGTTTTGTTTTTGCGAAAAATTCGCGATAACACATTTATCACGGCGATAACAATTAATGTAAATAATTGTTAAATGTGATAACGTGGCGCTATAAAATTAACAGTCATAAGTTTAATAACGACGGTCGTGATTCGATCTGTTGCAAACTCGAGCGTGTACAATTACGAGATCAATTACGCGCTCGCAACATTGACAACGAGATCGTTGTTCGCAATATGTTGTTCGCGAAATGAGAGATTCTCTCGAGATTCATCATTTCCACTCGTCGATCAATCGTGACCGATCGTTCGCAGAGCAAATCCGTTCGAATGTGTATTCCATGCGCCGAACATCGACTAACGAATCGGCGATCGTTGAGCGCTAATTGCGCGCGACGACTAATTGGATGATCACGGCCGCCGTTTCGACTCGTCTTACATACATTCTTCTCGAGAGGAGGAATGTGCTTCCTCTTTCGCGCGAAACTCTCGCGCATTATTACGGATCCCGGAGCACATCGTTCTCGCTCGTCCGCGATGTTAATTTGCGCTCGTAATTTATCGGGTAACGCTAAATGAACTCCAACGCGCTCGTTGAAAAACTTCCGGGACACCCATTAGCCGTTTAATGTAGATTTATACGAGAAAGCATCGATTACCGCTTGCGCGCATTCTCCATTGTGTTTTCCCGATCTCGTCGTCTCTGTGTGTCACGGCATTGCAACTTTTACATTTACTCGATCCGTTTTGTTATACCACACGTTTTGTTGCGCCACTTACGCAACGTTGATTTGTAACCAAGCCGGTTTCTCTTTCTCGATTGAATCGGACAATGTTGACGATCACAGAACGATCGAACCTCCCCCGTCGAAAAATGACGAATTTCAGAAATGCAATTTGTTTGCGGGAAATGCTCTGTGAGTTTTTATTTTAATACAGAAAAAAAAAATAAATGTGAAATATTAAAAATCTTTGTGGCCGAAAGCTTTTTTCTGTTAGTTAATTATATAAATTTTAAAAAATTAAAAATAATAAAAAAAACGTTTTTTTCTCAATTATTTGTTTAATTGCGGATAAAACTCTCTAGCTGGGTTTACATTTAACTCGGATCGTTGAAGAAGCAACCGTCACTTTTGCAAAAAATATTCTCCTATTTTTGTCATATTTCGTTGGAACTATGTTGGTAAAGAAATGCGCAAATTCACAATTGCAATTTTTCTCTGAGAGATTTATGAATATATATATATGTACATATATACATATATATATATATATATACATATATATAAGAGAAACAAGAACACGTAAAAAATATATTGCGAACAAAAGGCGTTGTCTGATCGAGATGAGGAAGAAAAATGTATATATATATATGTGTGTGTTATTCGCTACTGTGCCGTGTTTCATTATATGCAGGGGAATAATACCAAGTTTTCTCTTTTTTTTCTTCTGTTCGCAGCCGACAGCAGTTTCCTACTGGCAAACGCCCAGATCGTCGACTTCCCGATCGTTTATTGCAACGAGAGTTTTGTCAAGATCTCCGGCTACAATCGCGCCGAGGTAAAGTACAAGTACTTTATTTGATACAATAAGAGGCACTTGATTTTTTTTTTTTTTTCTTGTTTTCCCTAATCTTTTTCCCATCCGTTACGTCTATTCGACATTTGTTCTCGTTGAGGAGAATATGTTTTTTTTTTTACAGAACGGAATTTATTTATATACGATGCGCGCGTGATTGCGCAATGCACTTTTCACGTGTGCGTAACGTCGTATATTAAAATTAATTAACTAATTACGCAGAGAACACACGCACGTATACAATACATACGTATGTGTGTGTGTAAAACGTCACATATTTATTTAAATTGTTAAGGGCGTTTATTCATTTTATTACATACGGTAAATTTTCTGTTCAATTATCCGTATCGGAAAATATCCGACCACCGGATTCCTCTTACAAGTCGTGAAAAAACTAAATATCATGATTAGCAACTAAACTGAAATTTGAGATTGGAGATTCGAGATCCGAGAGCTGAAATTTGAGATTCGGAGACGAGATCTAAGATTTGAGAAGCGACTGTGAATTCGGGCCTTAATCATTGAAATTGCAATAAACAGAAATACAAGAGTTAAATAACAGAAATACAAGAGTTTTTTATTTATATATATATTAATATAAGAGTTATTTATTTATTTCTCAATTCGTGAAGTGTTTACTGTTTCGTTTAACATGATGATATTTTCGCGTTGTTTGTTTGAACATTTTTAATTGACAAGTAAAATACGTTATGTTATTTATAAACTCTGTTTTAATAAAAAAATAAAAAAACAAAATAATAATCTTACACACACGAAAAATGATCGGGCACACAATTTAATATTTAAGCGCACAAAAAAAGAGGAGAGTTTAATCGAGATTAACGTACTCCCGACATCGCATTGTGCATTGTTCGAAATTTGTTTTTTTATTAAAATATCTGATTCTCGATCGTATATATATTTTTTGAAATATATTTTTCTCGATGTGTTCAACCGCTATGAAGCAACGGCACGTTCTTATCCATCGCCATTCTTCACCCTTCGGGATGAGAGTGGCGAACGGATAAGGGGATTTAGCGACTAGCAGGTTGATTCATCGACATCGATTTATAGTCGCGCGCAGAAGATAAGAGAGGCTGAAGAGAGAGAAAGAGAGAGAGAGAGAGAGAGAGAGAGAGAGAGAGAGAGAGAGAGAGAGAGAGAGAGAAAGGCAAGAAGTCGAGAGATAATATCGCGTTGGACAACCCCTTCCGATATCGGACTCTCCCGCAGTGAAAGGTTAATAACTAATTTGCCTAACCGCTCACTATTCACTCTTTACTGCCGGATTTGATACTCATCCTCGATTTAAGGGACGATATAAGCGAGTACGTGCACACTCGTTAACCCGAGAAATCTCTCAAAAGAGAGTAACGGTGAATTAAAAAACCAACAAAAAAATAATCGCCAAGTACGATCGATGAAATATATTGTTATCTTTTATTTTCTAATCATATCCACGTTACACGTTATCGTCTTCAAGGTAAAGATTTAGTGTGTCAAATATTTTTTTCCGCGTGATCGTTGCGCTCGCCGTGAGATTTTTTGAAATTGATGTGTTAGTGTTTCGTACACACACACATACGTACGATGAAAATTCGAGGCGAGAGAAATTTCTTTTCAAGTAACAGACATAAATCATGTATGCCGGGGGGTAAACAGGAAACACGGGAAAAATTCGCAGTATATACTAGGGGGGGGAGAGGGGGGACTCTCGTAAAAGTACCGTCATGAGAAACACACAAAAATTGCTTCTCGCAGTTACACGTCTAGCATCTTGAATTATTTGATTCCGCAATTCGGCTCCGGTCGCTCCGTCTTGAGCTTTAACGTTCCGACCAAAACGGCGACGACGACGATGCTGGTAAGCATCGAAGCAGTGTGTGGGTATATATACCTCGCGTTCGTATGACTCTCAATGTTCCAATCCTATTGTTCGGGAAGATACATGGATTTGGGGTTTGCGAACTCCATTACTGGAAACCGGATTGAACATGCTTTCGTGGGAAGGTTTACGCGGCGGGGAAAGCCCGAACGCGCGCGGAAGTGGCGGCGGGGAAAGCCCGAACGCGGGCGAAAGTGGCGGCGGGGAAGTCCCGAACGCGCGCGGAAGTGGCGGCGGCGACAAGAGGGGCGCAAACCGCGCGCCGCACTTCCAATCCACGTTCGAGAGATTATTTTGCAACGGAGAATCACGACATTTTACACATAGTTTGTTTTTATATACAGTTTAATTTTCAACGATAAATAAAAATGTTCGAACGTGTGAAACTTGCGTGTTAAATGCATTGCTTTTTTTTATTAGAGGCAAAGCCACGTGACTTGTTCTCGCGTTTGTAATAAATAAATAGAAAATATATATGTGCGTGAAAATTTTTTAAGTACTTTGAGATAATAAAATAAAATCAATCTTTGTGTAAGTTGATTAACTATATATATGCATATATATATATATATACGCAGTTTTCCGCACAACATCCTGCGATCGGCTCGGATGGCCGTAATTATATTTCTTAGTTCAGTAACTTATCTAGCTTCAATAAGATTTAATTGTTAAAATAAAATCAACTTTATATTTATGTTAATTTTGCAAAATTTTGAAACGCGCACGCGCGTTTTGTTAAAAGCACGAAGCCAGATTGCTCTAGCTGCAAGTTCATGATCGTCAAACCCTCATCAGAAATTCTTGTCGGGAAGTAAGTTTGTTATACCCAGAGTAACTCGCGTGAAACAGACACCCACTTGTGACCTTTGTTTTACTTTCTCCCTCTCTCTCTCTCTCATTTAACCGGTGGAATATTCTCCACCGGTAATAGCGGCATTATTAAGGAAATTGACGCCTTTAATTCTATTATATAATATATATATATAAATTTACAGCAGTCTCAAAGACGTAATCAGATTAATCGCGCAGTCTTAGAATCCTTTTCTTCGCGCGCGTAACTCAGACTGTCTTTTGTAGATTATTACGTCTTGCTTCGGTCGGCAACGCAGCGCGCCCGCGCGAGTTTCTTCGGTTTTTCCGCTTCAAAGTGTACGATTCTATTTTTTTTTTTTTTGTTTTTTTTTGTATTTTACGTTTTACCGAGAAAGCGCGCACCAAGTGTGCAACGCGAACGTATTGTTACAAGCGCGTGAAATACGGCTACCGCGCGCTTGCCATTTTGTCTGCAAATGTCGAAAAAAGACGAAAGACGACGCGAACAAAAAAAAAAAATATATCTCGATACACGTAACAACACATCGGATATTCGGAAATAAATCTCGCGGTAAAATGTCGCGTTTATTCGCGAAGTTAATGGCGCGCGAATAAAACGCACGCGCGGATTTCGCGCGCGCCGCGTCTCCTTCCTCATTCGCGTCTCGATTTTTCCGCGTTTTTAACGTATTCACCGAACGTCGCTTCCAACAGACGTTAATTATTTTTGCAAGAGAGATTGGCGCGCGTTTTGTTCAATTAAATCACATCGCGCCGCAATTGGAAAGTAGACTAAAAAAAAAATCCGGTCGGAAAATCCAAGTTTATATTTCGTTCCTGTTGCGCGCGTCTGTTGCGAGAGAGAGAGAGAGAGAGAGAGATTTAAAGGTCAGCACTACGGGACTAATAAATCTGTTTCGAGGTCGAAAAACACCGATATCAAAACCCTATGCCGGCACCGATATGCCGCACGGAACGGCACACGTTTCTCGCTCTCTCGGTCGGCATTTGATAACAAAATCGGGTCAACTCCTATTGACGTTATCGATCCGCATGATCGCTATTTAAAGAAACACTTTATTCACAAATGGCTTCTGTTTACGGCGTTTAACGTGAAGTCGAAAGTATATCGCTTTGCCCGATTCCGCGTTTCACGTATTTTCCACAAATTCAACAAACCTCACATCACGCGTGTAATAAAGAAATTTCTATCCAAAGAGCGATCATAATAATTTGTTAATCGCAAAATTTTGCATCTTTTTTTTTTGCAACAATATGCTTCGCGAATTGCCACGCGATCTTATTTTCGATTCTTTCTTTCGCGAAAATGCGAATAAAAAAAAGTAATTGTCGTAAACAAACTGCGTAACGCGGATAATATTCGAGTATGTAACATTTTGTAACGGGAAACACACGGAAATTTCGCGTACACGCTATTGAGTCATAACTCACGATACGCTCTTTATTAATAACGCCACGAGCGCGTAAGTGCTTATTAATAATAGGCGGACCGTTCTAATTATAAAGCGGATTAATCGATCTCTTGCAGCAACCATGGTCGTTGCGCACATTTATCATCCCGCGCGCGGCCATGTATATCTTACGATTACTTATCGATAATAACAACGTGTATATATTATTACGCACACACATGCGCGCGCACGTGTGTGTGCGACGTGTATCGCGGGCGCGAACAAATGGGCTAATAACGTTGTACTTTATGTGTCCCCCGCTGTGTTCTCCCCAGGTTATGCAAAAGTCATGCCGCTGTGGATTCATGTACGGAGAACTAACGGACAAGGAAACCATCGCCAGGATCGAGGAGTGCCTCGAAGGCCAGATTCACGATCAATTCGAGATTTTGCTGTACAAGAAGACCAGTAAGTCGCCGGTGTTTTTTGTTTTTGTTTTCTATCTATCGTGTTTCTGCATGTAGAAGCTTATGATAAGTGTCGCTTTTCTTTTGCGAGAATCGACGATTTCCGACGTTAAATTAATTTGCAAAAATAAAAACTTACAACAAAATGAGAGAGACCGAACGCCGCTGATTCGCTGCGCGCTGTGTTTGTTTCAAACGCGCATCGTTTGAAACGTCGTTTTTTTTTTTTCGCGAGTTTTTCCAATTTTGTAAAACACAAAAATCGTTTTTCTTTGTCATATATATATACGAGGAGAATAACACCGTGTAAATTGCTTGCGGAAGGCGTTTTACGGCGGTGTAAAGTAGATTAAAAATTAAATTACTCGCGCCGCGCCGTGTCGAGTTGCGAGGGTCCGAAACCGGACGAGAGAGAGAACGGGAGAGAGAGTTGGGTTATCGCCGCGTTGTTCTATATATATATCAGGTAGCAAGTTTTTCGATCTCGCGCGAGAAATTTGCTGCGTCGCAGCAAAATCTCGTCGTCGTCGGTGATAAGTTCGCAGTTTTTCTTTGGCGCGTTTGTGTCACGTGAGGTAATTGGATTGGCCGTGGTTTAAAGGGCGCGGCGGGCCGGAAAAAGGAGAAAAACTCCCCCCCGTGGCGTATTCTCTCGCTCGCGGACGACGGAGTTATTGCGCGAAATTTGCATGCGCGTGTTTATCGGACCGACTATCTAGTTTCCTATTGCGCTCCGCCCCGTGCACTTTATGCACCGTGCAACGTGCGGAAACGTTAAGGATATAACCCGGCAATCAAGTTCTTGCGTCCTATGTGTTTTTAATGGAAAACAAAACGCCGCCGCGTTAAACTTACCGACACTTTGCCTTTGGTAAAACACACCGTCGGTTTGCACCGCCTTAATTAGGGCAAATAATCAACGCTGACAACGAAACAATTTTTGCTCGTATCGATCTCTACCGATAAAAAAACGTAATGGACATCGGACGGTACTTGTGTCTTATCTCTGTGATCTTTTTTAAAAGATGAATAAAAAGGTTGATTAAGGAATGTTAAACGATTTTTAAGAGATACGCGATCAAATTAGCGTGAAAATTAATTTTTTCTGATAATTGAAAACCGTTTCCGTGTGAGAGAAACACACTTTGTTAGAAACGCCGCTCTGTGTTCGAAAAACAGTTCGTGTTAGTCTCACTGCAATGTGTTGCGACAATCAGTTTCTCTAATTTAAATTTCTCTCTGTGTGTGTAGTTCATATATATATAAATACATATATGTGTGTGTATAGAACAGAACTCGATAGAAATAAATGTTTTTTTGTTATAATCTCTGAAATTTATGTGTGTATATTGTATTGTGCGTATATGTGTGTGTTGCTTCTTCGTGTGTGTGTAACGCTTGCTTCGTTAACATTTTGCATTTCAAAACTCTACTTGCACGCAGTGAGAATTAATTGCGTACATAGAGAAGAGATGTTTCTTTTTTTTTTTGTTTTTATTTTGTCAGTTGTTAAATAATCAAATATATGGTAAATTGTAAAGAGCATAATAATTAACCAAAACAGACGCGTGGTGTGTTTCTGTCATATGTAATGTTTGTAATAACAAGCGCGGAAATCGTCGATTTTCGGTAAAATACGTTTCTGGGAAAACACCTCGAGGCACGAGACGTATCATTGTGCATGCGCAATATATTTGATGGAACATCGAAACGTAACTTTTGCCCTATCTCGCCTTGCCGTATCGATATATATTATATATGTATATATGTATATGTGTATATATATATATATATATATATATATATACATATATATATATATGTATATATATATGTGCCACTGGCAAATTTCGTGTTTCGGGCTGGTCGTTGTTGCCATCATGTCGCATCGCTTCACTATGATATTCGCGTGCTGTTCTCTCGCTATATCTATTATATCTCTCTCTGTTCTCTTTCTTTCTCTTTCTCGAAGGATACACGATTATTTTCTAGCTAGAGGAAAAAAACGCTCTACTACTACACAAAAAAAAAAAAGTGTTAAGCTCAATAATGAAAGATCGTTCTGTTTAAAGGTAGCCCACCAGGTATGTCTATCACAGGTTCGCAAAAACGTGATCGCCACCAGTAAGTCACCCATGAATTTAAAATACTTATACAAACGACATTCATATATATAAATATATATATATTGTATATATATATATATATATTCGACAAATATTCCGAGTACAGTACAAGTTTTTTAACTTTTAAGTGCTTCAAAATAAATACGAATCCAAAGCGATGTTCGAATTGTTTTTTTTTTGTTTTTTGTTTTTACGAGTCTTTTTTAAATTCGAACTAAATTGAATTGAAACGAGTTTTACAACCAATTCTTTCAAAGAGAGAATTTCTCTTAAAGAAATCGGAGAAAAGAAACGCTCAAATCACCGAACCATTTCATTCGCACACACAGTCTTCTTCCTACATTTGCATATTCATTTGCCGGTTACAAACGTAGAAAAAATTTATTCGAATTATGTCGTTAGCTTTTCAAATCTCTTCAGTTTTTTTTTTTTTTGAAGATTTGTATTCGAAGAGAACCCGTTTTTTGGGAAGTCACCAGCTGTCACGATTTTTTTTTTTTTCCACGTACATACTTACGCGGGACTAGAATGTTAAAGATGACGCGCGGCACCATTTGCCCACCAAGCTATAAAAATAGATCACGAAGGTTATTTTCGTGCCGCATTACGCCCGTTTGGCGGCACTAAGTACCTTTTTGTCGAACAAAACCCCGACCGACGGTCCTTATCGTCTCGAAAAAGACGTGGAAACCGGCGCTGCGCTCGTTTTCTCTATCTCTCTTTCTCTCTCGCTTCCTGCAGAAAGAGTTACCTTGAGGATTATAAATCCGACGAGGTCGATTAACCCTCCGCGAGAAGAAAACTGCTGAGCATTGCGAGAGGCGAATTAATATTGCAGACTCGTATTACGGGAAAATTGAGGTCTTTGTTTTTTTTTGTTTTTTTTTGTTTTTTTTTGATAAATTTTTATCTTAATTCGCCTTTTTTTAATGCGGCGCGAATTGTAATGATCGACTGTTGTGCCGTTAATATCTGCGCAAAAAATCCCACGCTAGTGAAAACTCGAAACATTTTGGTCCGATTGAACGAACGTGTCAGTAAATTTCATACATATCTCAACCATGTATTTTCTCTCTCTCTCTCTCTCTTTCTCTCTCTCTCTCTTATAAACGTGCATCATATTTCCTGATATACTGTTTCATTTGTAATCAGTAATGTGTAACGCGCTCTCTCCGTAATGGCACACGACTCACTAATCATTAAACTAGATGCCGGCTCGATAAACGGCGTACTATTACATGATTACACGCATCCAACCGCGTGTATATACCTATAAATTTGCATCTCACATATGTATAAACGTTTAATAATTATATATTTTTAATATCGGAACAATCAAGGCAATTTCGGTACTTTGCGGCAAATGTGACACCGCAATATGTTGCGCATCCGCGGACGATGTAATTGGAAATCGACAAAATAAATATATTTACTACCACCCGAAGAGAAGAAACAGTTAAATAAACAGATACGTCTAACTTTTGAAATACATAGTGAATTATTTTTAAATTCTTTTTTTTTTAATTAAATAACGTTCGTATTGTAAATAAAAATTAAAAATATAGTGAAAAGAGGTGAAATTCGAGCCAAAAAAAAAACAAGGTTTTAATAACAAAGCAATTGGGGAATAATATTTAAACTAACATAGAACCGCGAAATATTCTTTTTTTTTTTTTTTTTTATATGTGTGTACAATATACCTATTTGAGTGTGTACTAAGTTTTACGCGGTGTCACAATTATCCTGAGTGGACCGGAATTACTTTGTTGTTTTTTGAAATCTAAACTGATTTGAAACCGTGTAGCCTGTGCTGTCACGGCGATGACTCGACACTTTTTTGGTTCCTCTCTAAAACACGTCAATATTTCCACAGACGGCGTGTGCTCTCCATTGTCGATGCTTTTCCTACGTAGCTCGTATGTCACCGTCGCTCGACGGGCTTACAAGGTTGCTTGATTAAGCCAGTTATTGATAAATCTATCATCCACGTATAGATAGAGAACGAAAATATTATAAAAATATACGAAAATATTATAAAATATTGCTTAATATGTGCGACGCTTAAACTTTCTTGAGCTTCTTACTTTCGAAAAAATTTCACAAAAAAAGCGCGTGTTCGAATTTCCTATTTTTTTCGTCAACATTCCTTTCGTGATAAAAAAAAAAAAAAAAAAACGACAAATTGTAAAATATACTGGGCTTTTTTAATTGCATTAAAAAAAAATGCGCTTTATTGATTCGATATCTCAACAAAAATATAATTTTTTTGTTTCGCATTCTCTTCGATTCTTTCGTGTTATTTGCCGATATCAACGTATTAATATTTGCGCTCGTCACACACGTAATATACAACTATTCGTTTTATCTCGTGTGTCTTAATTAAATTCTTCTTTTTAATTTCTTAGCATTATATCGCGCATGCTTCGCATAAAATTGCTCGACTTCCTTTTTTTCTTTTTTTTAATTTTTTTGAATTTCATATTATTCTCTACGTACTTCCGCATAAAGGCAATTTTTTGTTATTGTTATATAATTTTGCATCGATTTTTTTTCGATGCAATGCATTATTCGATGTGCGTGTAACGCTTTATTCCACGCTAATCTCTAAACCGCACAGCATGATAGATTGTTTCGAACTATACGGTAAGAGAACAAACTTTACGTTTTTTTTTTTAGTCAAAGTGATTGATTCTCAAGCTAATAATAATTGAGACTCTCTTGCACTAATCTTCTTTTTTGATCGTATATAATGCTTGAAAGTAATATATATAGGAACGAGATAGTGTAAATTATTGAGTAGTGCGTTCAGACAAAAAAATATTTTCCTCTTTGTACAAGCAATGTTGATAGCAATGTTGTTCTTCCTTTTTTTTTTTTTTTTTACAATGCACAGAGACACCGCTATGGCTGCTCCTGCAAATAGCGCCCATAAAAAACGAACGAGACCTTGTGGTCCTGTTCCTGCTGACGTTTCGAGACATCACCGCCCTGAAGCAGCCGATCGAGACGGACGACAGCAAAGGCGGTCTTTCGAAATTCGCCAAACTCGCCAGATCGGTCACCAGATCGAGATCGGTTCTGGTATCACAATTCAGCTCCCATTTGCCGGCACTGAAGGACACGGCCGTTCCAGCCACCACCAAACAATCGCACTTGGGTCATGTAAGGATCGCTTCGAGATTAAGATTTAAAAAAAAAACAAACAAACAAAAAACTCTGCGCACTTGTTTCTACGTTACATTAACGTTTGTATATTTGAAAAACGCACGTATATTATTTTCGCCGCATATCAAAGAGCAGCAGCTTACATTTCACAAAATGTTTTATCTCGCCAGTTTGTGAGATTATAAAATTAATGAAAAAAAAATCAAAGTATGAATAATAAACAATAATGTATATGAGCGGCGGTCGAGTCTCGCTCTCGCAAATCGATAGAATTAATTGTAAAAATCGACGAAATTCGATTCGCCATATCTTCGTCACTACGGAAAAAGGAAATGAAAAGCTGAAAGCACATCTGCATGAATCTTCTTTCATTCGGATGTGCTCGAAAATCAACATCGAGAGCTTTATACATTCAAAAGTTCTTCGGAGCGTGAGAAACTAATGGAGCCAAACTCGGGGAGCGTAAAGAAAAAGATATCAGATCAAACGATAGGTATAGGTATATGTTCGCGATGGGATAAGCAATCTCCCCACGATAGGGGCAGTGAAAATAATCATTTTTCCGACGTTAATTGATATTTTCCGGTGTGCGTATTAATTTTATTAATTTAACATCAACTTATTTTTTTCTGGAGCACGAAAAAAAAATACACAATACTTCAAATATACAAAAAATGTATAAAAAAAAATTATATAAATAATACTAAAACTTTATTTAAGTGCAGTAGAACCTCGATAACTCGAATCTCAAGGGAAGAGCTAAAATCTTCGAGTTATAGAGGTTTTCGAGTTATCGAGGTTTGACTTTGTATCTCATTATGTGTAAACTATTTCTTTGGCAGTGACTAAGCGCGTCTAACGAAACTTTGATCCCGAATTTTATATATATATAACTCTAGTATTATACGCATTTATCTTCCAGATGATGTCTTTGAGCGGCGATGTTATGCCGCAATACAGACAAGAAGCGCCGAAAACACCGCCGCACATTCTGCTGCATTACTGCGCGTTTAAGGCAATCTGGGACTGGATTATTTTGTGTTTGACCTTTTACACAGCTATCATGGTGCCGTACAACGTCGCGTTCAAAAACAAAACCAGCGAGGACGTCTCCTTGCTGGTTGTCGACAGTATCGTCGACGTGATATTCTTCATCGACATCGTGCTAAATTTTCACACAACATTCGTCGGTCCCGGTGGCGAGGTGGTGTCTGATCCGAAGGTGACTCTTCAATTTTTTTTTTTTTTTTTCTTTTTTTGACCACAAAAAACTACAAGAAATATCATTACTTATAGCAAATACGACATATATATATATATTAGGTCTACCGGAAAGTTCTGTCCGTTTTTGGAATAAAACAAAATACAAATTTTTCTTAATTTTTCAAAAATGGGATATACAAATTGGCAAGAAATCATTAATAATAATAGCAATTATATATTATTTAATAAAGTTTATTGACAGTAAGAAAAATTTGTATTTTGTTTTATTCCAAAAACGGACAGAACTTTCCGGTAGACCTAATATATGTACAGGGTGTCCCAGAATTGCCGTACAATCTCTCGTAGGCAGATAGAAGGAATAAAACTGAGTCAAAAAGTTCTGAAAAGTCGCAGACCTTTAGCCAGACGCACGTCAGTGAGCCGCGCGCCTGGTGTGTGTGAGTCTGCGCTGATTGGCCTGATTTACTCAATAATTATTCCTTTATTATAAATAATAGAAAAAAATGCTTCAGGACTTTTCGACTCAGAATAATCCCTTCTACCTGCCTACGAGAGATTGTACGGCAATTCTGGGACACCCTGTATATATATATATATATATACAGACCCGTGATAGCTGTTATTCTCATGGCGCAACACTTTCGGATTCTTTCAGGTAATCAGAATGAACTATCTGAAATCTTGGTTCCTCATAGATCTACTGAGCTGTCTGCCGTATGACGTGTTTAACGCCTTCGATCACGACGAGGACGGAATAGGTAGTCTGTTCTCGGCCCTCAAGGTAGTGCGGCTGCTGCGACTCGGCAGAGTCGTGCGCAAGCTAGATCGGTACCTGGAATACGGTGCCGCAATGCTCATTCTTCTGCTCTGTTTCTACATGTTGGTTGCTCACTGGCTCGCCTGTATCTGGTACGTCATATTAAGGTGATTTTACCCTGCGTACCGTACACGTATTATTCAAAGGTAAAACACACTGCTGTTCCCGACCCCTAGATGCGACAACACGATCGCGTTACAACCGTTACACCATGTATGAAACAAACACACACACACACACACACACATATATATATAATATTATCATGACTCTTGTTGTGCCACATGAGATATGACGCTTCTGGTCACTGCACGACTGTGACTTACTCTTTCTCTCTCTCTCTCTCTCTTTCTCTGTCTCGGCTCGTTATGTTACCTCAAAATCGGACTTTTTTTTTATTGCCTATTGAGTTTAATGTCACGCACCGGAAAAGTTTCAAGTAAAGACTACACTACGCTACCGTCTTTTATATCATGAAAGAAATTATTACATTTACATCGCAAATAAACTAAAAAAAAAATAACAAAGTCAAGTGGAAGGTTTTAATGCGCTTTGTTATTACGAGCAACGTCAATTGATCTTTTTGTTTTTTTCGCTCGATCTCGAAAAGAACAGCACACGGCACACCTCCCCCCCCGCATCCAAGTGTACATAAAAATTATATATCTCTCTCACATCAGTCTTCTACTTACTCGGCTCTGGTGCAGCCCTCGTAAGAAGTCTCCTTACGTTAAAGGTATTCGATAGGGAGATCGGATGCCGACAATGGGGTACAGTATTCGTGGTTGTGGAAGTTGGCCAATGTTACCCAGTCACCGTACAGCTACTTGTGGACCAATGCCAGCACCGCACCCGAACTAGTAGCCGGCCCGTCACGCCGCACGATGTATGTCACTGCTCTTTACTTCACAATGACTTGCATGACCTCCGTCGGTTTTGGGAATGTTGCGGCCGAGACTGACAACGAGAAGATTTTTACCATCTGCATGATGATCATTGCTGGTACGAAACACCACAATACTACTAATCGTAATTCTTGATTCTACTTTGGCCGAAAGAATCAGGGACTTATTACCGGTATGGATTTCAATACCGGTATTATACTAGAGATTGTATACCGTTATAGTACCGAAAACCGATATGTACCGAAAACCGTTATAAAATACCGGTATTATTTCGGTATTCCTACTAATGGTATTCTTAAAAATTAGATAAGTTAATTAAAGCAATTTTTGTTGCATAATTAATCTTCCTACCGCTTATTGGACTTATAGACCGACAAAATATAAAGACGCTTTTTTTTATAAACCAATTGAA